CAGTATTGAGTTTAAAGTGCTGATCATCACTAGTTACAGGTTGCTTCAGATTTAAAGGAATAAAAGTGTGACAAACCTGAATCCAGCGAGTCCCCGTGACAAGTTATCACAAAGACTAGATTAAGTTTTCCTCATCAATGAACCCAGATCAGAGCCAGAAGTCAAAGGTCAAACCAAACCTGGTGGGTCTCTGTTCCCCTGAACTCTCTTCTCAGGTACCAGTCTGTAAAAATGTCGGACTTCAAAAAATAAAAAAAAAGAACTTTACAGTATATTCATACTTTCCTCACTATAAAAACAAAATGACACAACAATAAATGGGATACAACAAAAAACATATATATTAGTTTTGTTTTTATTACTGAAGGTATCCCCTTAAGGTCATCAAAGGGGGTTTCCAGTGTGTTTGTATCCACATTCAGAAAAACTTGCTTCCTTGACTCCTCTCTCAAACCAGCGATGTTCTCTGGAAAAGATCTGGACTTCACTGTCATCAGAAGAATTCCCTTTGTCCTTCAGGTGGATGTGGACTGCTGACTCTGGTCTACTGGGATTGGCCCTCCTGTGTTGGGCCATGCGTTTGAGAAGCTATTTTTGTCCACATAGAATACCCCTCTCTAAATAGGGGCCGTGGACTCAGCCATAACTTGTCATCCATCTACAACTCTGATTACACAGCCTTATGTTGGTTTACTGTTTACTTGCCCTTTGCATGGGGATATGTATGTTATGGTCGTTCGTACACGGAAAGGAACGAGCAATAAAGACGGACCCAGATAGCTGACTTCGGTGCAAGCAGGGATCAGTGGCAGAGAAAAACAGTCAGTGGTGAGATGGATGGTTACAGACCGGGCTACGGACGCTGGGGTCACTCCTGAACTGGTTGTGGTTGAAGCGATGATGGCTGAGGAGACAGGAGCATGCATAGATAGTTAATGGAGACTGTGCATTGACCTCTATGGTGGAGACTGGTAGGGCAGAGTAGATCCAGGGTCCAGAAGAGAGGTCCGATGAAAAAAAGAGAGCACAGCCAGAGCGAGGGGTAAAACGTATGGGTAGCAAAGACATGAACTAGGAATACTATAAAGAAAACAACGAGCATAGGGGCCTGACAATAGGGATTGAACTGGCAAGGGAGTGAATGGTGAGCAGGGTATAAATAGGGTGTCAGGTTTGCCCGGCTGCACCTTCCTCTCTTCTCTCTTTCTCGCCCTAGTCTGCTCCCTCACACTGATTCTCTTGATTAGACACACCTGCCCTGATTTCCTGACACCCATCAGCTGCGCCTCTTTGTCTCACTCCTTATTTAAACTCAGCTCACCCTTCACTCCCTTGCTAGTTCTTTCTCTGTCATCAGCCTTCCTTGATTAATATGTTGCTTATTTCTCGTATGTTGTATATTCTAACGTCTCTCAGTATTTTTTTTGGACCTCTCCTCTGGATCCTGGCACCCTCAGCTCCACCAGCCACCATCACAGGTCGATGCACAGTCTCCCCTTTTACTGAACTCACCCATTACCTCCTCAGTTCTACCGGATCTACTCACGACCAGCTCAGGAGTGATTCCTACCCCTGCAGCCCGACCCATCATCACACCACGGACTATAACTACTACTACTGCTGGTCGACACCCGGTTGTATTCACTCCTTCACCTTGTATATGTCATTGCACTACGTTACTGTAAATAAAATCACAACTTGCACCAAAGCCAGCCGCCTGGGTCTACTAATTTCTCCGCTCGCTCACATTTGTGTCGAGCGTATTCTAACATAGGGAGAAACTAATGAGGTGCAGCTGGTGATAATCAAGGGAAGTGGGGTAGGTGTGTCAGATAGGGTAATCAGGGGAGCAAAACCAGAGTGAGAAAAGGAAGAGAGGAAGGTGCAGCCGGGCAAACCTGACAATGTACATGCACATTGAGAGCCGATGTACCAGAGTCAAATTCCTCTTGTGTCCAACACACCTGGCCAATAAAGCAAATTCTGATTTGAAATTTCTGCCCAAACAGTTCCACCCCAATTCACATCAGGACAATAGGCATCGGTCCACATGTGAGGGTCCAAAGACAGGTAACGACTCTCACCAATACCAGACCCTATTGACTCAGTCATTAGAGGACATTGTTGGCTGTCGAAGGACTGAAACACCACCCACTGAGGAAAAATACCTCCTGCTCACCACCAGTCACACATAACTGATGAAGCCTCTTGGATGAGAGGTGAAACGTCTTCTACCTAAAATTATGTCCAGATGCCTTCTAAGTTTTTCAGCAAGTTAATGTGTTGCTCTAACACAACAGTAAAACTATAATTCTTCCTTATCTGTTTTATAGTCATTGTTTTGTGTGTTTTCATTGTACGGCACTCTGGTGCTCCTGTGAGTTGGAGAGTGCTATATAAATAAAGTTTTATTATTATTTATTATAATTCTTATGATTTTCTTCAAATCAAACTATTTTTGATAATATTGATGGCTGGCATTTTTCAGCAACTGCCACTGAATGTGTTTACATTCAGTAACAACCTCTCTTGTTGGTGGCAGTCTGTCTTTCTAGCACTGGATTAAAATTGCATGTATTTGCCACATCTGAGCTGTATTACATTACTGCTAGTACAAACCAGAATTCATGAACAGGAAGAATTAATTGGCTAAACTTGTTGTTAAATTTCTGCCCAAACAGTTCCACCCCAATTCACATCAGGACAATAGGCATCGGTCCACATGTGAGGGTCCAAAGACAGGTAACGACTCTCACCAATACCAGACCCTATTGACTCAGTCATTAGAGGACATTGTTGGCTGTCGAAGGACTGAAACACCACCCACTGAGGAAAAATACCTCCTGCTCACCACCAGTCACACATAACTGATGAAGCCTCTTGGATGAGAGGTGAAACGTCTTCTACCTAAAATTATGTCCAGATGCCTTCTAAGTTTTTCAGCAAGTTAATGTGTTGCTCTAACACAACAGTAAAACTATAATTCTTCCTTATCTGTTTTATAGTCATTGTTTTGTGTGTTTTCATTGTACGGCACTCTGGTGCTCCTGTGAGTTGGAGAGTGCTATATAAATAAAGTTTTATTATTATTTATTATAATTCTTATGATTTTCTTCAAATCAAACTATTTTTGATAATATTGATGGCTGGCATTTTTCAGCAACTGCCACTGAATGTGTTTACATTCTGCATTTTTACTCATTTTGCATCTATTTGTTGCTGACTGACTTTATAAGAA